GTTAAATGTAACTCAAAAGTGCACTGTGTAAATTTTCTGGTAGAGGGCCCACTAGTTACTTGTCTCCATGGAGATGCTATTGCTTTACCATCAATATTCCAAAGTATGGCATTAAACTTTTCAAGAGAAACAAGCAAGAGACACCACCAGGTCAATTTACAGGTGAGATCTGTGAAAAGGTGACCCCACTCACAGTCAGAATGCATGTTTTATGGTATTTTTGAGCAATAAAAACACCCATAACTGAGTAAATGCATCTAATTTAAGTTTAATATCTTACTGGGAAACTTTACTGGCAAAGCAATAGCATCTCCATGTTCTATAAGTTACGCAGTGTACCTTTAGCCTAAATAAAATGTGTTAGCAGTATATGATATTGGCATTTCCTTCATTGTAGGTCTCGGCATCAGAACAAATTCTATAAATCATTTATTATCTACACTATTCATTAACCTCAAGTCCAACCCCAACAATGTTACTACTTAAATAAAACATATTGCCCAATAGATTATCTAATGGCATTTCCAACTCCCACTATCATCATCAGCCCCCAGATTTCTATAAGGGTCTGGCTCCAAATATAAATTACATTATACTCTACCACTGCACCATACATCCTTTGACATCCATTAAATAAACAAGTTGGTTTCCTTTCATATTTGACTTGAAAGTATCATTTCCCATAGAGTTAAAAGTAAATCTTACCTTAAAGGTGGATCCATCAAACTTTCCTGTGATTTGTGCATGAGACATCTGCTGATCTCTGAAACACTAAATCTATTGGACATGGAAAGGTTTCCCAGCACCGTGAAAACTCATTAGCAGCACTTTATCACTACATCTCTGCTCACTCTGAATCGGATGTGAGCGTGAATTATGCAGAGTAAAGATGAGAAGTCTGTCCTGTGAAATCACTGTGTAACGGACTGCAGATAAGCTAAGCATACACTTAGTCAAGGTTATATCTTTAGGTTTAATTTTTGTAAACTAAAATGCAAGAAAATCCGCTTTAAAGGTACACTCCATAACACTTGTAGTGGAGGGTTCACCACCTGCAATTATATTACATCTGTTCAGAGTCGCCCCATTCACAGAAGGAATTATTGTATTTTTGAGCAATAGAAACACCAATAATGGATAAATGGTAGATGGAAATGTTTAAAGTCATACCATGGGACATTCCGGGTGAGGCAATAATAGCCCCATGGAAACAAGCAGATGGCAGATCCTCCACCAAAAGAACTGCACAGTAATTACTAGCAATACGAATGTTATTGTTTCTTGTTTGAATGAAGTATTACCTTAAAGGGGCTGTAATAGACTGTCAAATTTGCCTTGCCCTAGTATGTCTAGGCCTGTCACAATAATTACTATATTGAGTTATCGTTCAATACATGTGAGGTGGAACAATAATTTTTGAGAGTCAATATTTATCATGGCTCCTTTTTCTTTGTACTAGTGGGGACTTTTTGTTATATTCTATATTCTAATAAGTAACTTCTGTGACTCATTTAAGATACAAACTAACTACTGAAGTGTTTTTTCTGCCAATTTTTTATGGCTGTGTGTGTTTTTTTAATATCATACATTTAGAAAATTTCTTGGGAGAGTACTTTAGGATTATTGTGTCAGTGGCATTAATTAGTTTAAAGATTATTGTTTATCAATGATATTTTCTTAAGCAATCGTACTTCAAAATGTTATCGTGACAGGCCTAAGTACACATATATTGTAAATGCTGGGTTAATCCACCAGCTAGGTCCTCTTGACAATGAACTTGGCTCAAGATCTAGAGCAGGGTACCCAAGGCAGTGCTGCACTACAGTTGCATAGGGCTCCCAGCTGCAGTGAAGGGTGTATAAAATGCAGAGGTGCTGTTGCTAACATTAACAATACTTGGCAATACTAAGGCATACTTCCTGTGCTGGCTCCAGTTTGTATGGACACCAACTATTAATAAAGACATAATAACATGTGAAAATAACAACCTGAAAAGATAACAGCATCATACCTGGTGATAAGCTAAGCCTCCTTCTATCATGGTACCTTTCGTACACAGTTATAATGTATATTCAGTTATGCTAATTTCACCTTTCCTGCACCTCATGCAAAAAGCCTGATCCTTATTACTGTTAGTTTATTTCAAGCGGCCACTTCAGCATGTGCTCATGTGCTAAATATCATCAGAAGTATGATAATCGCTTAATGGATACACAAATTAACTGAAGGTTATAGTAGAGTAATCCAGTATTAAGCCAATATCAAAAGGTGCTTTAATTCCCCATCACAACACACATCCACAACACCACCAATTATCATCCCCTCCTCGTCTCTATCAACAGAGGAAGAACTCAGGAATCCCCCCATAAGAGATCCAGTGCTCCATCTCTACGACTGACACCCTCTCCGTCATTATCTGCTCTATTCCCACAAAGCCTTGCTTCATGTGCATGCATTTCTCTGTGACTCACGGGCGGCTGAGTCTTAACGAGCCATCTCGAGATAATTGCTCCTGGAGGGTCCCGGGCTAACCCATACCCCCTGCCCCCTCCTGAATGTCACTCTGTCAAGCCCCTGTCAGCGCTGATACAAGCCTGTGGCTGTCACGACTAACAACGACAACAGCAAGTCAATGCAGACCACTCATTCCAGATCACGCCTCCAGTGAGACACGAGAGGCCATGTTTTGACATTCTCACTTTAAACAGCAGTTAGTTAGCGTCAGACAGGAGAGCGGTGGAGTAAGTGATGCAACATAGCAGTGCTAAAGTCTCATAAATAGTCTATGAGTGTCAGTGCAGATGTGTCAGTTCAGAAATTTTGGCATATACTTTTTATTTTTCAAGAAAGTTCAGTGGAAGTCCACTTTTCTTTTTTTTTTGTCCTTCAGGCAGGTAGATGCACACTCTAAAGTGATTCTAGTCAGTGGGGGTGCACATGAGGGAGGCTAAAGTATTGACACTTCGCACAACAAAAACACTACTCACAAAAATCATGTTATCATCTAATGGCAGAAATGGTCAACATTTATAATTATATTTGGCCTATGCATGATTACCTCACTATTTTTCCCAAACTAGGTGACTCTAAAGTCATATCAGAAGGTCCACTGGTGCAAAAGAGAATCAAATCCTGGCTGACCTCACTTCAGAGACCATGAGGGTGAGAGATAAAAGAGGAGCAGACATGATGATTTCAGAAGTGATCTTAAAACTGTTATGAGGACCTAAGGACCTGCGCAATAACAACTCTGCTATTTTCAATTCAGTTCATGTCACAGGCATCCTTATGCTTCTGGGCCTGTTCCAAAGCCTGATTTTAAAGTGGTGCACATTGTACACTGTGGACTGTGTCCTTGGCGCGAAGGGCAAGTGTGAGGTCTGTGGAGCGGTGACAGGATCCAAGGGGAAGGCTGGGTCCCTGGACGCCTGCTGTGCGCTCCTCAGTACCATCCACTGCCTTTGACCCCAACAGACGACAATGGCAGAGCACGGGGGAGGCGAGGGATTACAGAACATGTCTGTGTGTGTGTATCACTAAAATAACCCAAAAGTCCATGTCGGCTCTGTATTCTGCAACACAACTTTACTCTGATTCATGTTGTGTTTTAAATGTGTACAATTTAGGATTGTCAGTAGCTCAATCACCAAATATAAATCAATACTACTAAATAATATTAAATAATCAATTTCAAAAGTACTAGAGCTGAACTGGTATTGATACCTTTGATGTTTTTCAGAAGGATGCCCCCATGGTAAAATTAAACTATGCTAATAGCTAGATAAAGACAATTATTAACAATTATTGGACAAAACAATTATTAATCAAAAACTGTATATAACATCAATCTGCTTACCTTTTCCATCCTGTTCATTCCAAGCACAAATCACCTTTGACAACTTGCACTGAGAGGCAGTCAACACTTTTCACTTTGAAATCAGAAGCAGGAGAGAAAGCGCAACGCATCGGTTTCAAAAGTGACACAGACAATAACTTTCAGGAGAGTATGCTGTTAGGAAATGTCAACTTTCCTTATCTTCAATGTAGAAAAAAACTTCTCCACAACTATAGTAACTATATATGAGCTTCTATGGTCAATCAACTCAATTCCATAAGGGCTGAATATCCAAATGAAGTACAACTCATTATCAGAAATACTTTACAGTAACTATTTAAAGAGAAACATTTCAATTATTTATAATGAACAAGAACATATCAGTGCCCTTTAATGAAAATCCTCCAATTGGCACTGGCACATTATTCATTGAGCAGACATTCAGGCTGAGGCCGAACCCGCATGCTCGCGTTTTTGTCAATGCGAGTTGTAGTAATTGGCTGTGTGGCTCCAGAGAGCGGGTATTCAGACAGCACTTCACACATCAATAAGACAGCACAGCCCCAGCAGCACAGCGCACTGATGGAGACAAGGGCCACTGCACTGACCCTTCACTTACAGGCCTCCAGCTACAGCTCCTGCTCTGTGCAAACGGGCACTTTAACACACTGTTTAAAGGTGTTAGAGAGGAATATGAACAGATTCAATAAATATAGACCTAAATAAAGACTCCAAAGTGAGTGTAGCATTGTAGGCTATATGTATTCATATTCCTGTTATCATAACCAAGTTACTTAACATCTAGCTATAAACCAAAACACACCTAATCTGATTCATTTCCTCTTATGTCTAATGGGCTGACTGGCAAGTGATGCCGATGTGGTTACCATGGAAACTTAGAGTAAGTCTACAATGCACTGTCCAGTGTGAGGATGCATAAATCTATGAATCAAAAAGTTACCATACGTACTACTTAATGTCTGTTACCAAAATTAAGAAATATGCATAGAAAGGCATGTTGCCATTAATTATGCTTAATTTGTTCGCATAATACTAAGTCATATAGTCAGACGTTAGCTTTAAGCAAAAACTCCTAATACCAAAAGCCATTGCTATGTAAAATACTTTGAATTCATAAAACGTTATTTGCAAAGGTTTGACTCACTTTCGTGTTTGGAAGTTCCCCATGTGTGGCGTGGAACTCCAGGGCTCTTGATGATGGCTCTTCCGGCGGATTTGAGCGCGTCCATCCCGGGGCGTGTGTGCTCTCCTCCGCTGCTCTCTCTCCACTTTGCCCAGTCCCGAGCACCGACAGTCGCGTGCAGCGTGGAGGATGCGCCAAATAAGTGTACACTGTGGTAACGAGCTGCAGTTTGTCACGGTCCAATCCTGCAGGAAACTGAGCGGGAGCAGCCCAGTCCTCTGTACTCACAGCATCGCTCCTAAACCTAAGGGCGTGTCCTATCACCCGTAGGATGGGCTTCTTGTTGAAGTAATCCATTTTCTAGGTGCGATCTTATCCAATAACACTATAGGCTGAGCTTATTCTGCAGTGTTCTGGCTCAAGAGGCATTCAGTAGGTCGTAATTTTAGTTTTACTTTATGACCTAAATGAATACCTGTAAGTCAGATTTTAAATGGTTGCACTGATTCTTTTTCTCTTCAATGGAGTCTAATAATTTCTATCAAATAAAAAATATATATACGTTTTTTTTTGTTGTTTTTCCTTGAAAGATATGAGTTACAGCTTATCATTTAGCTACAACAAAAGCTTTGTCTAATTGGCTGATATGGAAATACATTATAGTTGTGCTAGAAGTTTGTTTCTTCAAAACCGCAATCATCAAACCAAACAAATTTTACACAGCTATGGTACCTTGGCTCCATCTACTGGCCGTTGGTTGTCATCGCAGTTTAATTGCGTCTTCTTCCAAACGTATGGAAAATAAAAGTTTAGCTACAAACATTATTTGTGCAGTTGTGTCTTTTAAAAGGTCTTGCATTTAAATACCTGTGTTCTATCTACACAAGATTAAACTGTTCGGATTTTCCCATAAAACAACTCATGCTTGAGGGGCCTCTTTATTGGCAAACAATGTCAATCTAATAGTAAAGCCAGACAAAGAGGGGAGTCCAATTAGAAGAGTCCATTAATAACATTAGGGGTTAGGTAGTGCCAAACTGACCCCCTGAATTAGGCATGCGCTCTCTTTAAGATTAATAGGAGTTGCTATCCTTTCTGCTCGGTCCAGTCTCATGCTAAAATGTATTTGTGTCATATACATTCAAACACACAATCTCTGTTACTTGTCCTTAGAGGCTGGAGCTAGAAGGCATCTGGTGGAAGGGTCAGTCGAGGAAGCAGGAGGACAACCTTGGCCTTTCAATTTCAGATAACATCCTGTTTTTTGTTTATCTCTTATAACCAATGAAATGTCAAAATGTAGCATTTCATACAGTATCCATTTCAAAAACTGGTAAAAATGTTCCCTCTGCTGCCCCTTCTGGTCTGGTCTCTTCTTTCTTTTGGCTTTCTTCCACTTCTGAGGCACACACGTGGTCCTGGGACTGTGACTGGGGCCGTCCCGAAGACTCGACAGACAGGATGCTACTTAGGCTGGACTGGCGCGCTCCTCTAGGCTGGGTCTCAATCTCAACACGAACTTCAATGTTGGTCCCATCCCTGATTAAAACAACAGAAACAAGTGCTTACATGAGATATAAAACATACACTGACTGTTATTAATATGTAAATAATAATTCTTCAACTATTTCCTGTGTATAGTGTCATAATTACCGGTATACGTTTGAGACTGACGAATTAAGAAAGAATATATTTCTGTCATGAGAAGGATCATAGGATTTGGTGCAGTTTGGATATCTGATTATGTTAAAATAGCTGCACAACTTGCAACTTTTCTGGTGAAGGGTCCCATAGATGTGACCCTACCCACACAAATAATGCATGTTTTCTAGGAATGCACTGATCCGATATTGGTACTGGCACTGAAAAATTTGCTGAATCACATATTGACTGCCAAATTTTGGAATCAGCATCAGAACTGAAAAAGCCGAAGATATTTTTGTACAATGAAAGCACCCATATTGAAATGAATGCCAGATAGGTTGTTATACTGAGGATCAATTTAAGGTCAAAGTAATAACATCTCCATGGAGAACAGCAAGAACAGGACCTTCTGCCAGAAAAGTTACATAGTACACCTTAACATTCTATACATATTTATTTCTAACAAAAACAATCCCCAATAGCCCAAACTATTTTGATATCTAATTACCTCAGAGGAACATCTTCTTGGTCAGTAAGCTTACTATCAGGCACAATAACCACCTCGCAGTCTGATTGGCTGTCCTGCTGGTGGTATCCATGGCGTTTGGTGGCTTCATCTAAAGCCTCATATGTATTCATCTGTTGGGGAGTGCTGCTTGTACTGGGCAGCACACCTACTTCCTGGACACTGACCCTCACTTCCTGAAGGCTGGTGTCATTAGGCGTTGGGTTGCTCTGGCCTGTCCAATGGTCACTGACTACATGAGAGAATAGGAGATCTGTAAAATAAAGGGTAATTCAGATCAGTTGGTTCTAGATACTAATCATTTTTATTGGTTTCTAGGATTAGATAATGTCATAATTTCAGGTGGAGGGCAGGGGCCTGTTTAATCCTGTGGGGAATTTACCATTTCAGTATTAGTAAGGCATTGGCTCCACAAACTTTCCGTGTTGAGCTTATGAATGAAAGTTCTTTTACTGAAACCAATCCAGTTTTTAGAGTTTAATAATTTATGCATGCTGAAGTAGAAGATATAGAACTCTGTGCCAGAAGGACCCATTAATTACAGTGATATTAACCATAAACCAGGACAACAAATCTGCAATCTGCCAGTTAAAACAGAAAATTCCACCACAGAGTTATGGCCTGTTCCCCAGCTCAGTTTTAAACTATAGGCTTTCAAAAATGCTGCGATGTAATCTGTTGACAAGGTAAACGATGCACTAACAGTTGGCCAGGTCTTCCAATTGAATATTGTGAGGTTCTGGAGGGTCACTCTGTGGTCGACACCAGCCGTTCCTACAGAGAGACATAGGAACAACTCCATACACATAAGTCAACATAAGTGGAACTCCTACACCTGCAAAGACAGAAAAAAACAAGAAAGTAGAGTTAGCAGGCTAATTAACCATCAGCAAATATGTAAAATTTAGATTTTCACTTTACTGTATTTGTATATTTTTGTATTTGTACTTACAACATATATTTACAGCAGCATACACTCTGGGTATACTGACTCTAAGCAGTATGACTTTCTGTTTAAAGTAAAATTTTATTGTAAGTTCCTGTATTTTTTGGTAGGCTGTGCAGAACTTTATGCTAGGAAAAGCACAAAATGAACAGTTTATTTCAATGCTATGAAACGAGAACTAGCAATAATGCGGCATCTGTAAGTCACAACTTAACCTCTATAGGACAGGTACCAGGTACCCCAATTTTCTTTAGCGTTTGAGTTTTTTGTTTGTGTTAAAATACTGAATAATGGAGATTTTTGGGAATCTGGCAACACAATGCTGAGCACAGATGAGACAAAGGGACATTATTAACACAGCAGGGAGAGTGGAGCACAATTGACTCATCACCCGGGTAAAACCAGGGCAGCAGGATCGGCCTGTGTCACTGCCAGCCTCTCATTGAACAGATAATGTATTTGAAACAGTCTGATCCAGGCATGAGCAGGAGCAAAAATGTAACAGTGACAGAGAAAGACAGGTGAAAAAACCTGCTCAGGCATTTAAAAGTGCAGCAAGTTTCGGTGATTTGAATTAATCTGATGAGGAAATGTAAAGGATAACACCAAGTAAACTTACAGTAAGAAATGTTGCTGTATAACCTGCTTAACCTCACTATTTCTATTTCTTGAGCTGTACACATATGTATATGTGCTGGTGAAGAAGCAATTGCCTACCCACAGTAACAGCTGCTATAACAGGCGACACAAACATGGACATCATCACCCCACTGGCCACAGTCAAGTAGTGCTTACTTCCTGAGATATTGTTTTTCTTACAGCGACCATGGACCTGGTTAAAATAAAACATTAGGTAGTTGGTTCTTTTATCCTGATAGTAATGAAAACAAATGGTTTTATTATTATGTACCTTGCGGCCCATATAGATAGGTATTCCCACTATAATAACTGGAATGGCAATACCAGCAATTAGAGAGATGACCACTGGTGCTCCAAGCAACATGCCCACCTGCCACAACACCTTGCGGGTTTGTGACCATGGCTTCTTCCCCCAAAAGGTACATCCTGAGGGACTGAAATGTATAAGACAAATAAAGTCATATATATATATATATATATATATATATATATATATATATATATATATATATATATATATATATATATATATATATATATATATATATGTAAGAACATTACATCCTGTCAAAGAAATAAAAATATTATAAAAATGTATAATTGTGTGTATAAATGTATAAATGTGTATATCATTCTCTGGATGATGCTAGAAAACCTTTGGTATTGACGGTGGATTTACATCTGGTGCCACAAGAAAATATGGAGCTGAAACCAAGCTGAGCAATAATGACAAGTCAGCAGTGGATCCCAGGCAGGAAAAATCAATAGGAGGCCAGACGAAGAGTGTAGAGTAATGCAGCTTCTGAACAATGACAAGCTGAATGCTGACTTTCACAGTTTTGATGTGCTACTAGATGCTACGATGTGAGTCAGAAATGGTGTGAAGGCAAGATATGGAAACAGTTGAAATGTAGCTTTCTTTTAAAAATACATTGGTGGATTAAGACTTTTGGTCTTTCTTTGTTCCTTTGTCTTATAATTTTTGAAGTTGTATGTATTGAACATTTACAAAAACATTTAGAACCATTTAAATCTGTTGCCGGATGGGTCTAAGAATTAATTTTGAGTCGACGTGTAATATGATCTACAAAATACTGACTTTATGGCCTTCCTAACGTGTATCTTCTCCAAAACTTAAATTTGGAATTATACTGAGACAAATAAAGTTGATTTCAGTTACCTTATATATGTCCTGACCTGGATTTAAGTTCAATACCACTTATCAATCATGTTTTTGTTTAATCAAATAAAAGTAAATTCTATATTATAGAGCTACGTTCTGTGGATGAGAGACCTGAGGTAGTGCACATCGGTGATCTCCTGCATACAGAGCCAACAGAACTGACAGGCACACACAGTGCAGTTCATTCGGTTACAGCTGCCATCATTGGTCTTCATGATGTAAGCACCACAGCGTGGGCAGGCTTTAATCTCCTCTGCCTCTGTAGCAATAGATCAATAGATCTATAAAAAATAAGGGCCTGAGAAATTATGAAAAAGGTTTCTGGTTAGTATAAAGAGTTCCCACCTCCAGGTTCTTCATTGAAGACATACAGTGCAGAGGCGTCATTGCCCCCTGAGGTGTGGCGAGCTCGCTGGCGTCGAGCCTGGTCACAGGTCTGATAGGGGTGCCACAGCTGCCGACAGTGGTAACAAAACTCTGTCTCACAGCCCTCCCGCCCACAGCTCAGTTTAGGACACTCTGCACATCCATAGGCTATGACTGCATAGCTGAGGAATAAACACGAATGTGTATGTGAGTGAACTTATTTCTGAAGTGTTTTACTTCTCAGAGATATACTTGTATTTTGTTTAGCTTGTGTAAATAATTAGATGTGATATCATTGTCATATATTTTCTAGAAAAAATTAATCCACACATGCACTTTGACAATGTATAATCTCCCGTCTAAGTGTTAAACCACAAAGACCATGAGGAATGCATGTATATGTAACTGAGCTATGACTATAGTTATGCAACAGACTTCCAGGGGTAAAAATTTATTTTCTACAAACTTTTCAATACAAAACCCTTATCTAAAAAAAATAAATGGTGTTTTATTGGCATTACTGTATATAAAATAGTAGATGTTATTTCCTGATGCTTTATATAATGTAATACCTGCAGTCGGGGGCAGGGCACCAGCGCGTGTCTGGGTCAGAGGCCAGGAACCTCCGGAGCTGGTACTCCTCATAGCGCTCCAATAGGGCCTGGTCATCCAGGATGGCCTGTATATCCAGAGGCTCCAGGCTTTCGGGGCACTGGGGGCAGGCGATGCCCACGCGGCTCTCTGAGATCTCGATGCGCAGGTATCGGCGCAGGCAGTCAGTGCAGGTCCGGTGTGAGCAGGACGACAGGTGCGGGAAGTCGCAGCGTGGCTGACTGAGCAGACATAGCGGGCACTCCTCCAGGTGCTCATCCAACAGCTGCTCCTGACTGGACGAGCAGAAGGACAGCACGCCCGTGGGGCCAGTGCTGACTCCACCCACTTCAGCAGTCGCTGTGGCAACAGCACTCTCACCTGCCTCAGTCACTGTCAGTGCAGCTCCTCCATCTCCTCTCTCTGCCTCAGAAACCCCTGACTCTCCAGCTTCTTCTGTTCTGAGCTCCTGTGCACAAAGACACCACTTTTAAAAGTACATTCTGATAGACTGAAATATTGATACTGATGGGTGTTACCTGCTCTGGATGCTCACTCGGGGTTAGAGTTATGGCCACTTCTTCTTTGGTCCTAACCTCCACATTCTTCTCGGGCCTTGGCTCAGCTTTGGGCTTTCGGCTGAAGAAGTTTAGGAAACTTAAGGGCCCTGTTTGCTGTTTGGGCCTCTTCATGACGGAGAACTGGGGCAGAGGCAGCAGCGGAGGAGTAGAGACCAACGAGCATGAGTTGTTAGCAGTACGCTAACGCTGTGTGTAGTAGTTGTTGTTTTAAGGAGGGGGAGCTCAGTGAACCGGGCCTCTGTTGTGTGGGACGAGGGGGGGAGCCATGAGTCGAAGGAGGTAATCCTTGCCTGAGGGGGACATTACTAAAATGGATCCTCTCCCCAACATGGTTGTGTTGTCTGCTCTGTGAGTGTAGGAATTAATTCAATTTTCATACCACCACTGTATGAAAAAACAATCACATGTTAAGATATACATTAGTTACCAAAAACCTAAAAAATAAATAAGACTATTATAATTTATCAATGAAGCCTCTAAACAGATGGACTGTGGAGCTTTGAGTGACAGAGTGGACTGAGGAGACTCAGGGATAGTGATAGACAGCAGACGATGTTTAACAGTAACAGACAGCCCTGGGCTTTTATCATAACAGCTGGGCCAAAGGGCCAGTAACAAAAGCTGTTATATAACGGATTGTATTTAATAGTATCAATCATAACAAGGTCTTTGTAACAACTTTATGTAACTTGTTCAGTACAGACCACTTTATTTTTGTTATATTGAACTAACTGTAGCATTTCAGTTAGCCTACAAATGCGGCCATATACTGTCAAGTTATTGGTAAAGTTAAGTAACCTCTTTACAAGAAAAGGGAAAAATTTACTGTAGTGACTCTGGTCCTATGAGACATAAAATATTCAGTGATGGAATATTTTTAAGAAAATCAGCATGCAATATGATTTTAGAAGTGACATTAACAGAGCATTGATCAGATGTTGATATAAAACATTTTGTTTAATGAAACATACTGTACCCTTTGATTAAATTAAGTGAAATAATCTGTGAGGTTAAGTGAAAGTTTTTGAATGTTAGAAACGAGATGTCCTAACCATTTACAGCATATGACATAAAATGACAGATGGCCTTACACAACTAGCATCTGCCCTGAGGTTTATCCTGTAGGAAGCCTATCATGAGAAAGAGAAACATCTTCACCTCAGTGCAAAGGTGTTGGAAGATAGGAAACTTGTTAACGAACTGTTGCTAGGCAGTAGCCTTGTTCAAAGTGAAAAAATAAAAAGATTTTTTTTTTTTTTCTCCAAGAGGTGAAGCTTAGAATAAAGCCTATTAAATTCCCCTTCACTGGACAGCAGCCCTCATCAGCACTGCGGGTCCTGGAGAATGAGAATGACCTCAGTCTGTTGCATATAAACACACTGCCTTACTCCTATAGGCATCCCTGACATCACTCCAAAGAGATGAAATACATCATATGGCCAAGTAGGTTGTGGCATGGGACACCCAAGCAACACATTATTGTATAGCTAGTTTACTCACATAGAATTCCCAAATTATTATTGTTGCCTTTAGCTTAGTAATAAGATTTTGTTGATTCTGGCCTAGAACATTAAGTTTATCCACAGCCCATGTAATATAAGGTTGTGCAATTCATGACTGAACAACATAAAGCACGTGGGTACTGACTGATGCTCTTTTAAATCAGTTAAAAGAATACAACTCAACGCTCAATGGATTTAAATGATCCTGATGACATCCTTTTAAAGCAGGGCTGTTCATAGCATCAATGTTGCAGGGAGTGGCACAGTTTAGTCGCTATAGCCTACGGCTAATAGCATTAACCTCCAACAACAACAACCATAAACAGGATGAAATAGGAAAAGACGAGATGAGGAAAAACAAATCGTACAGTGGTTATCAAACAATGAAAACATATTAAATAGTGCGTAAAAGGGTGCTCTACCTCTGTGCGGTGTCTTCTCTTTGAAGCGCAGCATCAACCAATGGCTCCTCCTCCCCTGAAGGACCAAACAGCAGCCAAGTTATCCCCAGTCTCCTTGGCGCTCACTGCAGCACGACGAGTGTATGTGACCGGGAAAACCGCAGAGAGGGAAGGTACATCAGAACAGCAGAGACGAAGAGGCAGCCAGTACAGCGACTGACTGATGGATCTGCCGAGGGCTTCACTGCAGTCACTTAACCAATGGGAACACGCAAAACGCCAGGATCTCCGTTCCATTAACCATCTTCTATCTATTTATCTTTTTATTTTATTTATTTATGTATTCATTTATATAGGCTATTTTATGTTTTTTGCTGTTTGTCATCAAGACTGACCCTGTTTACGTTTTCGTTTTTGTTTTTTTTAGCACCTTACAATAATTAATCATAAATTAAATTGATTAATGCATTATCACATTATTATCAGATTATATATCAACATTACGTTTAGTTAAAGTATTTAATTTAAAATGAAAAGCTAAATAATAAACTCCATTAACCATAATCCACTGCTGGCATTTTTTTTTTTTTTTTTTTTTTTTTTTTTTTTTTTTGCGGAAACGGAAACATTCGTTTATAAATCTTTCAATTTAAAGCAAAGATAAAGTTTCGTACACGTTTACCAAGTGGCATCATAGATATCTTGAATACATTTGTGACTTTTATTTTAATTATCTTGAATTAAGACACTAATGCAAAAAACCTTTTGTTTTTATTGCTGTGGTGCTAAGCGCTGAAACGATTTGGTTGTTTTCACTTGAAGGTATTTTCCGGAACTTCTTTATTTACTGCTGTTGACAACCTAAAGAGCAGTAGAAAATCAATTAAGTTATGAAAAATACCATTAATTGCCTTTCTTTGTCACAGCAGCACTGAAAACATGGCGGATCTTTTCGCGATGGACCTTTAAAGAAGACGATATTCGTTGGTTATAACAGGTTTATAGCTACTTGCGTCGCTAACCAGACCGCGAGGAATATTTATCTATTTTTGGTAAGTTAGCTTGTTAGCTCAGTGTTGAAGTTACAGTAGATCTTTTGCTTTTCACGTTTTCAGTTACATCAGCAGTAACATCTGTAATATGTCCGTTTGAAATAAGGGCGTAACATTTCAAACCTGAAATTATCTCATAGTTAAACACGATTTGTGTAGCAAATTGCTGAATTTGTAGTTAGTGTTTTGCCCCCTGCCATAACAGTGTGCAGTGGGTTTGACTGTTGCCTCATATGCGTTTTCAGTATCTCTCTGATTAATATACAGTGCCTGTTTATTATTTTCTTCAGTAAGTGCATATAATTATCCCTGTAGATGGTAATGTAACTACTGCTATTATGTATTAATTCATATTAATGAATGCCAAAATACAAATAAAAAATGACAACAGTAATTTGTCAGATAACATAATAAATATTACGGCATTATTATGTGTATTACATGTATATTCTTCTTCCAGGTCTGTACGGGAAACACAGACACTGATGGTTGTGAAGGTGTGTGGAGGGACACCACAAACAAAAGTGAGGCTGACCAGAAGATGCCCAGAAAAAAACAGCAGAATCCACAACCAGTCAAGTGTACGTATTTTACTAATGCATACTATGCCATATATGATTGTAACTGATGATTGTTGATGTTTATGTTTGGCATAATAAATCTTCTAAGTTTATTTTAGGGTTGTTAAAAAATCTCAGAACTGAAATACCAATTATTCTACAACTGTAATTAAAAATAATACTCATTTAAACAAGTATCAATAATGTAAAAAAAAAAATATATATATCACATTAATAGGACTACTGTTGTCTGAGTTGAAAATAAAAACTCATAGTCATTGTGGTATGAAAATTAGTATTGGTACCAAGCCCATTCCTTTGTATAAATATCTGGTTTGAAATTATAGTATACTGACAACACTTTAAGTCTTGTCTTTTTAATCTGTTTAATTAACTGCAAACATTTTCTCAACAAATTACAAATCAGATTGTCGCAGTAGTAATGGTGTCCAGTAGAGGGTAGTATAAAGCCAGGATTGTTAAGTACAATGTTGTCCTTGAACTCTCATAATCTGTCTGTGACAGCTGTGGAGCAGTGCTTTGGCTGCCATTAAGCTACTGAGATAGAATCAGGCTTCATTAAGTATGTCTGCAGTAAATGAGCACCATCTGTCAACAATGACTTTATAATACTTGTGTTATTTTGTGTTGGATTTCAGTGTTAAATATGTACATTCATTATTTCATACCAACTAAAATTACTTTTAAAATCATTAATATCTGAAACAGTACTATATAATTAGATGTAGTTGTACTGTGATAGGTAATAATAATAATAATAATAATAATAATAATGATAACAACAACAATAACAACAACATATTTTTGGGAAGGCAAGGACTTGTGCAATGTGAACACAACAATGCCAAAAAAACAAACATTCCAATGTGTTACAAAATGATTAAATTTAAAATGTAACCCTAACCCCAAATGAGCACTTTTCACTGTTTTAAATGTTATCATACTTGAACACCATGTCAAATCTAAACTTAAGTCATTCCATAATTTAACACCAGAAACAGAGATGCAAAAGCTATTCATTGTTGTCCTAACTTTGTGTATAGTATATTTGTCAACATTGCCCGAGGTTATAGACTGTGTTGCTGATGAAAATGTTTTTGTATTATGTATTGTTTATTGGTAGAGAGTTCTGCTGTACTCTAAACAAAAAACATGTTATTGTGAACATATTGTGAATTTTATAGATTTATTGTTGTTTCCCCATATCTCGCAATATCTAAAGCAAGATATGGTAAGACTAGAAAATAGTATAATACCTGTAATGGTTTGTGATGAAGAGAATATTTTACATTATTTTACTTTTTCCCCCCTTGTAGTGGATTCTGAAGATGCTTTAGCTTTTGAAGTTCCTGGACATCTTCCCTTAGATACCGACATCCTCCTGGGACCTGAACTTGATTTTGACGATTCTGATCATGAGAAAATTTTAGGCCTGGAGAAGTTTGCAGGTTTGTAAAAATATATGTGCATGTTTTAGGGTTGGGCGGTATCCAAATTTTGACCGGGGTATACAGTATTACCGTATTACCAAAATGTTTTAGTACAACTTTGGTAAACTACGAAGCCGCACCGCTATGACCTGCAGACTATACGCGTGTAGCCGCACGTCAATGCGAGGGCAGCTCCATTGGCAGCTGCAGCAGGATGTAAACGCGCAGCACTGGCTCCATGTCTGTCAATGGGAAAGAAGATCAAACTTGACTGGGCGCGTTTAGCCACTTGTATCATGTCTACAGTGAAACTAACAGCTGAACAGACTTGTATTTACCTTCTGTACAGGCTCACCACGGCAAACGCGAGGATTTAAATTTTAATGCACTAATTAACAGTATTTCTGGACCTGGGCTCTTTCACATGACACAGAACTGCCCCAGGAGCACATTGTGCTGATGGTAAACGCACAAATACAACCAAAGATTCATGCTCTCTGTGTATTTTTATGGGGATACCCGCCTACGCTCGTGTAGAGCGTCAAAAAAAAAAAAAAAAAAGGATAGATCCTATTTTCTGAAATCTACGTGCGCAGGACTTGCTGCTCCATACGCGAGTCTAGCGCGTGCAGTGGAGCCGCCCTCATTCACTTTCCATGCATTCTAAAAGTTACATGTCCAAAAGTTGCAATTTTTACGCTCGCGTAGGGTGAATTTCGCATGCAGTGGAGCCAGGCCCATAATCTCTGAAAAGTTCAAGCACGAAACGTTTCCAACGCGACATGCACAGAACAGACTCATCCGTCAGTTGCAACATCCTCTGTCACAGAAAGAACATATATTCCACTGAAAAAAACATCAGCATCAGCAGCACAAGAAGCAAACTGTTTTTATCAGCGCTTACAGCCAAACAAATGTAGATATCAATAAATTATAGTATTATATTAGGTCCTTACGCGCTGCAGTTTTTTTTTTTTAATGACTGTAATGAAACTGATACCATTGCTATTTTTTCATACCGCGGTATACCGTAATACCGTATTACCGCCCAACCCTAGTATGTTTGATTAGGCCTAGCGTTTGTGTGCATTGGTGTAAAAATAATAATTTTATGATTAATGTTATATATTTTTGTCTTTCTTTCATCATTGTAAACCCTCATTGTTTTAAATGGTCTTTGGAGGAGAGCCCCACTGGCGTTCTGGTCTGTCTCACACAAAACGAATAGAGTGATCTTACAATTCATGTTTCTCAGTCAAATAAAGTGAGCAAAAAATGGCAAAGTGGAGACAGGCGCTGAGGCGCCATTATTATATAAGGTCATAAAATGGGGCCATTACCATCAAGGACCCCATTACAGAGGGCATTTATTCATCATCATCATCATCATCATCATCATCATCATCATCATCATCATCATCATGTAGCCTCATCATCATCATCATCATCATCGGCAGCAGCCTCACCATTACAGTCATCATCATTATCATTAGGCCTGTAATCATCCACCAGGGGTTTGGAGGGGCCAGGATAAAAAGCCAGCCCTCCACTCTCGCCCTCCTCACATGTCCTCAGCTCCTGGGGAGGAACGCAGTCTTTCACAAGCTCTTGCTGTCGGGCTGCAGATTTACAGATGGACTATTTTAAAATTTATTTTTTATCTTAAATAAAGGTTCTTAAGTTCACAGCAGCACATTGGATGTAGCAAGGTTAGTGCATGTTAAATGTAATTTATCTGATTGTCTTTAGGTTTTTTTTGTTTGTTTAGTAGTAAAATTCTGTCTTGTTTATGAATTTCTTTGTTTGTGCCCTTTAGACGTGGCGGCTGAGATCGGTTTCTCTGTGTATTCTCTGGGTGATGAGGAGAGCTCCGTTTATAGCCCACTCACAATGGAAAGTGATACAGGCAACTCACACAGTCTGAGGGGAGACCAGAGCAGAGGGGTCCAGACTGAACACTCGTTCCCACCTTACCTTTCCTGTCGAGGCTGTGGTCAGCTCTGGCATGACCCTTTGGGACCTGGGATGGATCAAGTTGGTCCTTTCTGCCTTAGATGCTGCAAAGCTAAAACAACAGACTTCTGTTTACCTTTTGGTGGTGGAGTCAGTGGCATTCACTCCCAAACTGAAGAGGACGGTGAAAAAAGCATGGCTGACAAAGCACAACCGTGTGAGGATAAATCCTCCAAACTGCCCTCCTGTCACCTCTGTGGTTTCTCATCTCGCTATGCCAACCACGTCAAGCGCCACATGAAGACGCACAACGGTGAGAAGCCTTTTAACTGCCCGCTGTGCACGTACGCCTCTGCACAGCTGGTCAACCTGCAGAGGCACCTGCGCATCCACACAGGAGAGAAGCCCTACAAATGTGACCGCTGCAGCTTCGCCTGCAGTTCCCTTGGCAACCTGAAGCGCCACCAGCGCATGCACATGGTCTCAGGGCTGGGTCAGCCCCTCCTGAATCGCCCTGCCGCTGGTCTCTCAGTTCAGAGGAGGCACCCGACTGGACAAAGGGCCAATGAACAACTCTCTTCGGCCAAAGGTAAACATTGTAACAAGCATACTTTTTTTTACATTTTTTTTCTTAGTAATTTGTGATCTATCATACAAACACTGACCTTTTCTTCACACTTAAGTTTCACAGGTGCCAAGGTCAACATCCAGTGTGACTTCTAGAGCAGATGATGACTATCTGTCTGCTTTTGAAAGCCTGAAGCAAGCCTCACCACCACCTATAACTGCCATAAATCCTGCCCCAGGACCTCCAACTGCTGCCCCACAGCACAGCACAGACAGCAGAGTTACTGACAGGAGTCTACCCTCCACCCTGTTCCCCTTCACTTGTCGGCTGTGTGGTGTTATTCTGGAGGACGAGGATGGCACTTCTGCTCAGATATGTCCCAAATGTACTCTGGAGATGCTGACTAAAGACTCTGGCTCCCCCCACAGCCCTGGGGAGCGCAGTGACAAAGTATACACCTGCTCGGCCTGTCCTTTCCTCACACATTACCCCAACCATTTGGCCCGCCACATGAAGACTCACAGTGGTGAGAAGCCATACAAGTGCCCTCAGTGCGACTACGCCTCGGCGCACTTTGACAACCTCAAACGACATCACCGCGTGCACACGGGCGAGAAGCCATTCAAGTGCCATTTGTGCGAGTACGCCTGCGGGAACCTGGCCAACCTCAAGAGGCACCAGCGAGTCCACTCGGGTGCCAAGCCTTTCCAGTGCACTGTGTGCAACTACAGTTGTAACCAGAGTATGAATCTCAAGAGACACATGCTGAGACACACAGGGGAGAAGCCCTACAAGTGTGAGGAGTGCGGCTACACCACGGGCCACTGGGACAACTACAAACGGCACCAGAAGAAGCACGGCCTGGCCTCGGACGGCTGGGTTAAAGTGCCCCCCAGTACTCAGGAGGATAGGGAAGGGACACAGGACAATGTGGGAGTTCACAGGAAGGATCTAACTGTCAATATGCAGTATGTGCCGAGAGAGAGCCAGCCACTACACTCATGCTACAAACTGGAGGTTGTATAAGAGAAACTACCAGCAAGGGACTGTTATTACTGAGTGTCCATCCTAAATGTGCGTCTGTCATGTCCAGAGGCTGCTAATGTTTTTGATCATTCTTGTTTCAGAAACTGTTAGGACAGTGGTTGTCAAACTTAAGTTTTCAGCTTTGCTAGGCGTATCAAACTAAAGTTAATACTAGAAACAAGAAATGCTACCACCTGTGGTACATGTGACACAATTTGAGAACCACTGTAAAAGAGGTTTGAGTTTTGTCTATAAATTGTTATTTTGATCAGCTCTTTATTTAGTGGTGTTTCATTGTCATGCATGTTTACAGCAGCACTGTGTAGATTTGTAATACCTCATTTGTAGAGTACTACAGTGAAATGTAGTAACAATTACATATTGAATTTTACTGAATGTAGTGGCGACTATTGGTCCTTCATCAAACAAACATATATAGTGATACTTTTTTTCTATGTGCATAGTGTTCTATTTGTAATGAATTACTTTGTATCTATGGTAACACAGCCCCTTTTACCAAAGTACTCAGGTTTACCTACAATATAAAGTAGTAGCACCAGGCATGCACAACTGTTCAAAGCACATCAGTTGTTAATTGGACTATTTGAGCAGTGACCTAAACCCCTCCCCTCTTACCATATCATGAACATGCAGCTGACATGTTTTAAATGAATGTATTATTTGATCAGAAAAGCAATCTGTTTACACCATGTTTTACTTGAAATGACAGTAAAGCATGTATGTGGTATTTTATTAGTTGTTACATTGACTTCACTGTTAATTAGTATAGAAAGTTTGTTTTATTGTGAAATTTATCACAGAAATTGGAGGAATTATGCAAGAGGTTTCAGGTTGCCAACATGCCATTATATGGACATTGACATGCTCCTTGTTACCATTGTTTTATGCAGTGATTCATAAATGCCTTAAGTGAAAAATTCACAGTATTTTGATGAATGTCAAATAAAGATTTTACCATGGAATAATCCTCGCTATGTTGTGTTTGGGTTGCTAGAGGTAGGGCATCCATTGTAAAGACTTCCTAAGTGTGTTTTGTGCTTTCGTCTCATCTGAGAATGTAATATTTGTTTTGTAAATGGTCAAATGGTGAGGCCAAAAAGTTGGCATAAAAATAAGAGAACAGGTGTGGTCTAATTTAAGTTTTATTTTAGCTTGATGACGAGACCAGACAGGCATTGGCAACAGTCAATACAATCTTACATTTGTGATGCTGGTGATAAGAATACACAGTAAATCACACAGTCAACCGATTTGAGACCAATTAAAAAAATATTTAAAGATCATCAGACATTCATAGCATTAATGATAGCATAATCGATAATTTTACAGTTCTAGAAACCAGAGGGATTTGCTGGCTTTGATTAATGGCTAAGGGCAACATAACTTATAAAGCTGAAAATATATGGAATGATTATAATCATGAACAGATTATGTTATGTGCTCTTGATAAGACGTGTTCACTCCAGCAATTCACCTTAGCCACCTCAAAGCACCTTTACTTAATTTCTCTGAGATGATTGGCACAATGTATGTTGAACAGAGGCCCGAAAACACAAGACACAGAAATCATAATTTGTAAACAAAAATATTCAATTAAAAAGTCCCCTAATAGACATTTGTAAACAATAAATGCTAGTCCATTTAAGCATTTGCTCTATACAACTTAGATTACACTTGATTACAATAATAGGCTATGGTAATTATGCTATTAGTAAATGTTCAGAATACTTTATTACATGTACATAATAGAAAAAGTGACATTTTATTTTTTATTGTCATTTTGTGCAAAATGCTTTAGTAAACTATAATTTGGCATTTATGAGAAACCTTAAAAATGCTTTTAAAAAAGAAACAAATCACATAAATTTCCAGAGCCCTAAAGAAATCTCCACACAATGGAAACATTATGCTTAAGACATTCACCTCCACCTGTAATACTGTGCAAAATGTCAGAGTAAGCAAGTGCAAGCAGCCCGGCCAATCACATACCAACATCTGCAAGACCCAAGGACGACGTGAACATGAGGCAAAAACAATAAAGTTAAGGCTAGTTCTGAACGCAGTATCCACAAGCTCAAACTACAGACTGCACACAGACGTCCAGACACTTGGTGCACATTGAGACTGACAAGAAAATAGCAGTTTGGTTTGCACAAGTTGACAGTTTAAACACATTCACTGCTTAGTTCTGCTGTTTTATCACTAGTGCCAGGTCTAACTAAATATATGGCTCTCTGCTTAGAAACGTGCACTTGAAAGCTAGAAAAATCAACCTTTGTACCTTCAACTGTATCAAAGAGATGCCAAATATTAAATGGAATGGTTCTTTCAATACCTGCAGCTTCATGCTATTTTAGCTTTAATCAAAAACAACTGTGCTAATGTTCCTATTTAATTCATGATACAAATGTTTTCAAAGGGCACAGTTGAGATGAAGAGAGAGCTTAAGGCAGCGACCTATCTCATTAAAGAGGCTACAATCTGGCAGAGTTAAACACTTGTGTGGCTCTCGGCTCAGTTCAGCGTGTGGTCTGGGACGTCCCGCAGGGTGAGGGTGGAATGGAAAAAGCCAGGGCCCCAATGGGAGTTACAAGTCGTCGTCCCCGATTCCCTCGAAAGCATAGTTACCATGGAAATCATTACCGCTGATGTCATTGGATGAGTTGGAAGCGCTGATCCCTCGAAGTGACACAGAACTCAGCTTGGTCTAAACAAAATTTCAAAATGATCAAACAGTAGAAAGAAATAACAACTTTGAATGTATTTTTTTCTTTCTAATCTAAAAAAAAAGACATTTACAGAGAGTTTGACAATTTGCTCGCGGTTGGGTTCCTGTGAGTCCTGAAATGTGTAGATAAAGAGAATGTGAGGGACTTAAATCTGATTAATGTTGCAACCTAGAATAAGTCATGTCATATCTTACCAGTAGAGGGGGTGATTTCACAGCTTGTTGACTATCAGACCTGTGGTAGGAACCGTTGTGTCGTTTTTTCAACATCTGAAACACAAGGATTTAATGCTTGAATGAAGAAAAGGGCAAATGTGTGAAAAGATATTTAAATAGTATTAAAAAGCATATTTGTCAACTTAAAAGACACACTATATAACATTTACGGAGGAGCGTACGCCACCGGTTTATCTCCATGGAGATGTTACTGCTATGTGTGGAATGTTCCACAATGTGGCATTAATCTTATCCATCTCCATGGAGACATTTTCAGGCTAAGATCTGTGGAGTAGTGTCCCCATGTTAGGCAATTTTAAGCAACGAAACACCTGTAATTAAATGTTGAACATTCCAGGCCTAGCAATAACATCTCTGTGGAGACAATGAGGTCACAGTGACCCAGAAAAGTTGCATAGTGCACTTAAAAAAAAAAGTTTTATTAACCTTTTTGATGCTTCCACCAGACTTCTTCACCATCAATTCATCCACCATGGACTGGAGACAGATGCTCATCATGATAGCCTAAAACACAGTCGAGTTTGACAATGTAGAGCACAAATAATACTGTATAGAGTCCATATGTTACTAAGTCTATAGGTAATCAACTAAAACTAACTAAAAAGTAATTGTTACAAAAACCTGCTGGCTGGTGATTGTGACCCACTGGAGACGATCTTTACTCATGAGATATTCAAAGGCCAGTTCCAGTTTAACGTCACATTTGGATGAGCTGCAGGGGTTACTTGTACCATTGGAGACTGGAACTTGCTGAAATAACAGGGTAGTTCTTTGTAATTAGTTAAACACTGTAACCTTCATGCCTGAGAGCTTGTGTCATTAGAAAGTGGTGCCGTTATTCTATTTATTTGCTTTACAGAAACAAAGGTAGACAATAAAAAAAAAAAAAAAGATTTCCAGAGCAGGATACAATTTGAAATTGAGCAACATGGGGCTTGAATGAAATGTTTTGAATAGTTTGGAGGAGAGGAGAAGGCCCATTAAAATGATTTTCACCTCGGAGAATGTGGCTCAGGAATTAATTGCAAACAGCAGCGCTGATGCATACTCCGTAATCACACAAACCAAGACAGCTTTCAGCCCAAGAGTAAAGATGTCAATGTAAATATATTTCATAGAGACGTGAAAGGCGGTCACTGGTCCGCTCATCTTGCTTTAGTTTTAAGCCAGATGGATAATGAACATTGGTTTCATTTATTTATTAACTAGTTTTACAGTGAACAAATTAGATATAATGTTATTGTAAATCAGCCATGATGAAATCTAGACAAAAATCTGTTTGGCATTTTGTGAGTCCATTTGAGTAGTCTTGTAGTGGAGTCTACTTTATAGCACAGACTTTTGCAGTGTATATAGAAGAACAGAAGTCAACATACTCAAGAGTTCATGTTACTGTAATGTCTAATAATAATAATGATAATAATAATAATGTAGCACTCTGAAATGCTACATTATTATCATTATTATTAATTTTTGAAACTATAATAATGTGTGTTGTATGTGTGAGTTGGATATAAAGACAAATAAAAAGTGGGTTTGTGCTACTGCCTGCAGGTCTAGCAACTTTATCCATGAATTTCTTTCTCCTTCTATGATGACTTGACTGCCACTGCTAGCTTTCTTATATAAATGCACAGAATAGCACACAGTCCCTGCTATCCAAAAGTCATTATCAGTCTAACAGTGGCAGCTGCTGTTGTGTGGATCAATACAGCGCATTCCTTGGGTGGCTCTCCTGTTTGGGGTAATTGGGCTGATGAAAACAGATGGAGCAGGCGTCAGCACTTTTACCAAGCTGCCGGGAGTAAAAACTATCACTTGGCACGTCTTGGTAGAACAGTGAAGAAGAGACCTATAAATATGGTGCTACTAGAGGACAATTTTATGAAGTTTTATGAAGTAATGTTTTTTAACAGTTGAGGGTGACTTACAGAAGACGTGACTCGCCAGCACCTCATGCGCGTGACCTTGAAGCTGCCTTCTTTCATCTGGTCATTGGGCAGTTTGACGTGGAAGTTGAGCTCATTGTTGCCAGCGCTAACGATCACTTGGCAGCCCTTTTCTGGGAAGTCTGTTATGCATGGGTCAAACTTGATGTAGCCGTAATACTTTAGTGTCTGTCCTAGATGAATGAACTGGAAAGAAAAGGCAGAAGAAGTCACAAAAATATAATGTGCATTATAGAGTAAAATTACAGTACAAGTTTTTATAAAGTGTTTTTGTTTTTTTTTGTTTTTATATGGTTTAATGCCATTTTTTCTTCTAATATGTCAATGTTTTGCCATGTGAAACTGCAAGATGTACATATTCATTTTGAAAACTACTGAAACTGAAAATACAAGACAAGATGAGATTGGCAATACATTTTTAAAACTAACTAAATATATAAATCCATCTATAAGAAACCTATACCTCTTTTTTGGAGCCTTTCTCTTGCAGGGATTTCAGTTGCCTGTGCTGATCCTTGTTGACGAGAATCCAGCCTCGCTCAATGTCAGCCACAGTCTGAAGGGGCACAAACAACAGCAGCATCAGCAGAGTGCAGATTTTATAGTGCGCATGAACAAAATGAATAGGTATTTGGTGAAATCCTATGCCATGTCCTTTCATTCTATAGTACAGGTTAACTAAATGTGCACTAATGGCCTCAGTCAGCACTGAGTAAGAGTTTTAATACAACTAGTCTCCAAAAATGCTTAATACGTCAAAGACAAAACACTATTAATAGGATCACTGGGAACACAAAGAGCCTCCACACTCTAAGTAGTGCAAAGTCATAGCATGCTGCCATTGCTCTGGGATAAGGCAGTGGTCAAAAGGACAAACTAACACTTTTAAAGCCTATGGTTTCCATCAAGTGGTTACGTTCATGATATGACAACATGCCAAGATATTAAGCACAAAACAGTAATCATGCAAGGACCAAACGATGGCTTTAAGAATCTCATTTCAAAAACACAACAGCAACCCATCTGATAGTAGTTAGATTAATACATTATTTTTTTAAATTAGAAAATACTATTAAGAAATGGAAACAAAAATCTCATTGTGCCCTTAGTTTAAATTGAATTGTACCATACACACAGAACCTAAAAGATCAATATAATTTTTTCAATCTCTACAAAATAAATAAGATGATCCAATTTATTTGTATTATAAAACAAAAAAATACACAATTTACCTGGGCATACAGCAAATTCAGGCCAATTCTGTTGTCCATCACATCGCTGTCATATGCCATGTCCCAGTAGCTGCACAAAGGACAGAAAAAAAGCCTGAGATAGCTGCATCTACTGTGTGAACAATAGAATCAGTATTATTATTCAAATGGAAAAGCTGCAAACTAGATTACTGGTGGGATAATCAGATTAGAGTGTGTATCTTGGGGAGTATTTGTGAAAAGGCTGAGGGATATTTGTAGTCACAGTGCTGGTGCATTTTGCACAGAGACGCGTGGGTGCTCCAGAGGGCTGAAAATCTAATGTGACAGTCAGAGCTATAGGTTGTACAGAGTGAAAGATTCAGTACTAGGACTGCAGTGCATACATAAATATTTAAGTACATGGTATTGACAATGGAGCAAGAAAAACATGGACAAATAGTTGTGAACAGGAGTTTTAGTGTAAAATGCTAGATAATTATTTAACTGTTGAATTGATTAAATTTATTTTTTAAAGTAGAAGTGTGCAATTAATCACATCATTTCAAATTGTCAATATGCCCACTGCTTATCATAACTACAGAAGTCTACAACCAATTTTCTATTCGTAAAACATGATTTGGTCAGTTCTGAAAGATTGAAAAATAAATGTTTTTGTGTAAACTGGTGGCACTCACCACAGAAAATCTAAAATCTAAATACTGAAATACTGAATAATCAACACAAAGAAATCCCATATTGGCCTGTCATAATTTGAAATCTGTATAGTCACACTTTTACCATGTTATTGTGTGTCCATTTTATTACTACAAGGTCAAAATCTGTGTCTGACTTCCTCATAACTTCCCCATGCGCTGGTAGTTGGGATAAGCTTTGTTTTGGCATTTTATTTTTGTCCATGTTTACTCTATTCTTTCTGGAAATCCTGTGTGAAATATTACTTGACACAATTTATAAGAGCCTTCTGTTATTTTTATGAGGTCAGGCGTTACAGGGGCATGAAATTTAACACGTTTTCGCTAGAAGTCCCGGAGAGCTGTGTTTTGGAGATTTTAAAAAAGTGTTCACACTGATATAAACCAGACGTCTTGACCACATCAGTAATTCAAAGCAGACAACAAGAAAAGGATAGGTTTACTATAGTAAGAAAGTTTCATTAAGTCCTCAATTAAGAAACCTTGTATATTTGCTACTAAGCCCAACAGCCCATAAAATGAGTTGTGGGATAATGTGTAGGTATAAAAAGTTGAAAATGTTGACAGATGCATTGCTGGAGTCTGTGTTTTACTAAATTGCAACATGCTTTTTTCCAAAACAAACAACTCAGTCCTCCCCCGGATCTTGTACTCTGGAGGGGGCTGTGTTAGCAGTTCCTAGTTTTTTGGGTTCATTTCACTCAGCACTGAAAAACTAGGTCAGGAGGACTTGCACTTTCCTTCAGGCAGAAAGAAAATAAACATCCGGTGTACCTCAGTCAGCAGGGGGCAGGGTGAGGAAAGAGCTCAAAAGAAATGGGCAAAACGCAACAGTCTCCGATCTGAAGGTGGAAATTACCCCAGAAATTATTATCCCATCTAGGAGAATTTTTACACATTTCTACATTTTCTATAGCTCTTAACTGTTTTAATAATCAAAGCAGATTTTCTTGGGAGATTCATATCTGATTAGTATCTGCTTATAAAAGAAGGTTGTTAAGATCTTTGATTCCCAAAATAGTTTGGTCTTTGGTTAAATATGGCTACTTTGTAAACAAGGGATTAAAGATTACAAAATAAAACGCTGAAGTTGGCAAAGACTTGAGTTTAATATTCAGAGTCACCTAAGGATAATGAAATGTGGATGGAGTAATCAACCCAAAAAATCGTTCTTTATCCTGAACGATGTGGCCTAAGAGGTTCCACAGGAGGTAAAAAATTAGGGTACTACGGCTGCTTATTATCGTATTGTGTCAGTATACCTAGTTTTACATATATACATAATACATTTTGTGTTTCATGTTTTAAAAGCTTCTGTAGATTAGACATTACAGCTCGCTGCAGATTTAGCAGGACAGAATGAGCACTCAAATAATTTAGAACTTTAAGACTTTTTGCAATAACACAATCTTTATATTTGATTGCAACAATTGCAATTAAGATTAAAATTCAATGAACTGCACAGCCCTGAGTTGTAAAGGCATACATTTACGGGCCTGTTTAACTGGCATCTTCATGCAGCTTGGATATATTCATCCTCTTTGATAAACACAGCTTTCTTATTTCTGGCCTTTCCAGAATCTATTCACCATATTCCTAGCAGAATATAATTTTTTTGTATTTTAACGATAACAAAAAATATGCTAAGGACATGTTATAAGAGTACCTTTTTCGTAGTAGTATGTGGAACTCTGAGCTTTGAAGACTGGAAATGGATACATAAGGCAGCTCGAACTCCTGCAGCTTCCGTACAACTGGGAGACACAGGAAGAGAGTCATACAAGAGTGCAAAAACATGTGGATAATGGCAACAACATACGAGGAGAGATGGCCCCTATATGCACTGGTCCCTAGTGTGACACATGTGAATGGGAAAACCTCCTCCTTATCATTAGATGGCTACATGATATGCAGGCAAACACTATTAGACAAGGAAAAATATACAATGTGAATTTTATAAATGTTTTGAGCATTTGTTTTGGGCATGCTGGAGACACTGTGGGAAGCTTCACATAAGACAGACAGCAGTGGGGTTCTCAGCCACACTCCAGTGTCTCTCTACACGGTGCTGCATATTTTGAGACAATTTATAAATAGACTTCTAGACCTAGTAAATATTAAGTGGACAAATCATCATCCTGTGTCATTACCAGTGGTGTTGTCAGCCTAAGCTAATTTTATGGAAACACATTACTGGAATGTTGCACAATTTAACTAATACAGTTTTTTGCTAACAGTTGTGACAGCTAGTATTTAAGTATTAAGTACGTATTTTGTTTCTTGTATGTAGGTACTTACATGTTAAACCTCCATCTACATTTTCACGAACAAGAAACAAGCTGAAGTAACCCACAAGGTCCTCTGGGAGATCGAGCTTTGTTGCAACAGCCTAGCCAAAGACAAAAAGGGCATGTTTCATTTTCAGGTCAAAATAAATAAACAACAAAAGATTTTCCTAATATTGTGCTGCTAAAGGTAGCAAGTGACACCAAGCATTTACTTTTTACTGTCACACCTTTCCCTTTGTTAGTATAACAATTTAAAAGGCAAACAGCCATTGTGTTATGCCAACAGGGCCAACAAAAACACCTGTTCCGTCTATAGGGGCACTTACATATCTCATCTAAGCTACATTCACACACTTGTCTATATCAGGACTAAACAGGCGTGGAACCAGAAACAAACCAGGACTTTTGGTCTATATCAGGACTAACTGTTGTCCAGGTTTAGCCCCAATTTAGTCCCAACCATGATGTGTGTGTACAAGTGTGAATGCAGTCATAGCCATAATCTTCTGCTTTTGTATCAAAAGATGTTAAAAGCATCAGGAACCACCCTGAGTGCTGCTTACATCAAGCACATCCTCGGTCTGATCTGAAGTCAGGATGTTGACCGTGACCTTCTGACCATTGGAGAGGCAGATGTCGAGAGCAGCCTCTTCTGTGGGAATCTGCTGGGTCTCCTGTGGAAGCACACAACACATTATCTTTCAGACACCAATGGAATACTCAAAAGTGAGATGAGAAAATAGTACTGTACAGTATGAGGCCATCTTTTCATATAATTCCATGTATTAATAAAAACATTAAAAAAACACAATGTCATCTTAAAACTGATGGCAGACTTTGCATCTTGAATCTATAATTTATAAACTTTTAATGTGTATTCTGTCAACAACCAAGAATCTGAAACTGGGTACTAATATTTCATCATAATTGTTGCAACCAGTCATTACATCAAAGCAAAAAGCAACATGACCAAAAATGGCAACAAAAGAACAAAGAAAATGCTAGATTATATGAATATTTTACAGTAATACTAATTTTCTAAGATGATTATATAAAATATATATTTTCCATGTAACCCCAGGCTTCCTGTGTCCCACAGTTATTCTGCTAAATCGTCTCTTATCCTGCATGTTTTCAGGCGGGGGGCTGTGGGTACATCGTAACTACTTGAGGTGCAGATGAAATAACAGCGGGTGGTAAGTCATTTCTTATTCTGTGCCCGCTGTTTCGTACAGGGAGAGAGAAGGAAGGAGGGGGGAGAGAGATGGGAGAAGGGAGTGAGACTAAAGGGTGTGACGTACGTATTTGGCCTTGAAGGTTATTGGATTTACACACAGGGAAATGCCGGTCACAGTTTGAGTAATGAACGCACACTCTCTGCTCTGAATAAGTCATAAGCCAATCATCAGTGTCGACATGCTGCAAGTGTACACTGAATAACTAATGTGCCAGCAGCAAAAGAAAAAAAAACATTTTATGGCAACTCTTGTACTGAAAATAAATCACAGAATACTCCACAAGATACATTATGCATTTCGCTGAGTTTAGTGTATTTACGAGGCCACACTCAGAACCTAATTTCGCTTTTGTAGGATTCGGTCAAAAAGGAAGTAAAAATCCTTGTGCAGCATTTGGAAAGTGCGAGTTCAAAGAAATACTGTATATTTGGCAAGTGCTGATTCATCTGTAGTCCAGTGTGTTTTAGTGGTTTTTCACATTAGAGCTTACAGCCTTACAAACTTACTGTTCAAACTGATGACACACTCAAAATAACAGTGTGGGTACAGTGCCTACGACAGCAGCCACCTCACCACCACACAGTTTGGTAACTGTCCTGGACAGGAATGGTTCACGCCCGCTGTCAGGACACACTGAGGTACACAAGGTATTACTAACTGTGTTACTGACCTGTTGGGCTTTCCTTAAGAAGCTGTTGAACAATTCACTAGATCCAAGCAACGGATCTTGTCTCACTGTAAAAAAAAAAAAAGAAAACATAGCCAAATGACACAATCCAAACAATGACAAATTGAATTTTAAATTGATTGATTCATGGTAAAAATTAAATAAATAAATAAACAGTTTTGTATCTTCAATTAAGATTTATTCCTCAAATAATCCACTGATATTCCTACAATGTTCATGGCCATTGCATTTTTCATTTAATTAAAGTGGCCTTTAAAATAGACCAGCCTAGTGTACTCTCATCTTATTCTAAATTTAACATTTGTCAACTCTGCACAGAAAAAACAAAACCAAAAAACAAACATTGAACTTCCTCATACATAGGTCACTAAAGTTGACCTTCATCAAAAAGCAAAAGTTAGAGACACTTGTGTGTGTGAGGTAGTTTATTTTCCATAACCATGTAAAAAGCCATGATGTAACAGAGTGGACTTGTGGCCAAGAACACCCTGCCTGCGTATGCAGCGACTATGAGCAAATACACAGAGGAACAACGGAGCCTTGTTCTGCTCTAACTGCCGCAGCTCGACAGGATTAAAACAAACTGAGCTCTGCTGCCAGTTTCACATGTCTAAAGACACTTCAACTGTAAACTGTTTGCTAAATATGAGCTATTTCCAACAACAACACACTGGCATAGCACCTAATTGTTATACAAAAACTATTGGCATGAATATTACTTTGTTTGCAACATTACTGTAAATATAATGGATTTTTATGTATTGCTACTGATCAAGATTTTTTTTTTTTTTTAAGGTTTGGCCATTTTTGTGTGTGTGTGTTGTAGTTAAGTTTGTTTTTCATGGCCAACACCAGCAACCTCTGTCAATATTTTTTTGAGCAGTGCATGTGTAGGTCTGACTTTTATAATTTCACCCAAATTATAAAACTATTATAAAATCAAATTCTGTCTATACAGTGCATTACCCTGGTTACAACATAATAAGGAAAAACTATATTTGTTGTAATGATTTTAGGCATCCACAACAGCAGTAAGACGTCTAATAAAGCAATCTCTCACCTTCTAGGTGCACTGTTGACAAATGTTACTATAATGAATAACAAAAACTTTTCAGATGTGGTACTTGTAACTGCTTGGTGGTATGTGAATAACTTACCAGCCTGCATGTATTTCTCCAGCTGCTCTCGTCTCTGCTCAACCTCGGCGGGAGTCAGTGTGAAAATCTTCTTTGGAGGGAAGGTGGGCACCACATTACTGCCATACTCTTTCTTTATCTGCCAATGTAAAACAGATGCTTCAGAGCTACAGCCGTGTATCATTTTGTTTACCCGACAATGACTGTTGAACTAACTCTTTCATCATTCAACTAATAAATATATGGACAAAATGAGTATTGTGAAAAGAAGCAGTGGAACGGTGTAAAAGGAATATGTACATTCATAGACTCAAAATTGAATCACAGGTTTATTCTGAGCCCTTTTGAAAAGTATTTGCTGGAGTTTCCGTTCAGAGCCTTCAGACAGACACATCTGGAGGTCTGGGAATACAGCCTTTCCAAGTCTACTCTGTCTGCCAGGGTTTTGACTCATGTGTTTCCATCTAATATCACATAAAAAGAACCTCTCAAACATACAGACCAATACTTCCCTAATGTTAAAGATACTAATCAAACTATTAACTTGAGTTTGTGTAATCATCAGTTTGGGGGTCACACTTTCATCTGAGTCACAGTGTTGCCAAGCGACAGCTGTCAGGTGGACCAATTTTAGTGTGAAGACAGTTGAAGATATTACTCATAACTCATTACCATTATTCTACCTGATGAATGCTAATTTAACTCACGTAATTAGTTCCCACCGACATTGGCAGCAACAGAAGTCATTGCTTTTACACACTAAGAACATATGAAATGGGTTACATTTTTCCCCCAAAATAAAGTATATCTCTAGATGGGCAAATATGCCATATTGACAGCATGTTACACAGAGGAGGGAAAGTCAGACTATGTTGATGTGGTGACATTTAAAGAGTGTTTTGGATTAGCAGCAGAAGCACACAGGGGCCTTTCATGTCAGGCCCAGAGAGATTTGATGATGCGTCGATGGTTTATACCTGTTCATGGAGGCTGAGGAGCTGGCTGTAACGGACCCTGCAATGCAGTACACCATTCACATGGATATTATAAGCCTGTGAAAAGAGAATATAAAATTAACATACAATAAAAATATATGTTTTACTGCTTTTTTCGCAGCCATAACAGGTACACAGATGATAAAGTTAATGAAAGGACAGTGGTAGCATTGTGCAATTTGTATTTTGCTCATCTGACAGCTAAGTTAACACCACATCAGAGCCAAATAAGATACTCAGCAGCATAAAAATCTGTTAATAGTATGTGGTGGTCATACTGCAATAGACATCTGCCTTTTAAAGACAAAGAGTCAGCACTTTCGTCTTCCTCTTCTTCTGTCCTTTATGAATATTCACAAACAAAATGTAGCCAAAACTATCAAAAACAGTAACCCACCCAATGCAAAAGTATTCCAATCCACACTAACTATAATAATAGCAATTAACTGTTAAAGATGAGGATCGGAGCATTTACAGAAAAGCCAACAAAAGGACAAATATGTGATTGTGAGCACTGGGCAGAATTCACACAGGAAGGAAGTATGAATTAGTGCAGGCTTTGTGCAGCTTGATAAGACACAGGACAAGTTCTTCATTGGAAAAAGACTTTAACTCCATGTAATTTCCAATGTGTCTAAAATCTAAATGATGTTTGCAATCTTTCCAATAATTCAGACTAAAAGCCAGTTAAAATAAACAATATATGCCTTGTGCAAACCTTGTGGACAAACCTTGTGGGTCAAACTCATAATGCCAACATCTCATTCAATATTACGTGCTTGTATCAGGAAATAATGTGTCTGTGAAAACAGGACTATATTTAAAATGTGCTGGGCTGTTATTCTAAAAAACCCTGTGCAAACTCAGCAAATTGAATGGCAGCATTAGTTCCAAGGTACACAAGCCATCGTTCAGCGTTATAATCAACAGAGGAGCTTCCTGTGGGCGGGTCGCAGGAAGGTCACAGAGCTGAGCTAGAGAGGGCAAAACAGGTGACTTTCTTCTGACTACACTATATAATAACAACATAGCATGGTGCACTTAACAAGTCGACTGAAAAATATTTTTCATATTTCATGTATATACATATTTTTTACATAACCTGAACCTCCCCAAAACAAACACCAGTTTAAGTCTACTCACAATGCATATTTGATTCACATTCAGCACATCTTTGTGTCACTTTGACTTTGATTGTTTCTTCCTATGCATGAAGTTAAAATTTATTTAGCAAAATAGATTAACTCTCAAAGTTAAAATATAATATCTTTGAGGGTGAAACTAGCACTACGTAACTTCCATTTAGACCCAGATGACATGCCATTATAAAGTTCTTGAGGAGACTGAGATAAAGGTATGCACTACACATATCAATGGCTGATAGATACATAAACTTGAACCACAGTCATTTCCAAGCAACATAATCAGTGTATTCACAAGTGGGGAGCCTCATATCCACACACCAACATAGTGACTATAACCTCCTCCCGGCACTAAATATTCACAGTGTAAGTATTTTCTGGGGTAGTTGAATTTACTTCACTTGATCAGCATGATGATACTGTACTACAGTTGTCCTTGAACAGCCAACATGAATTATCTGCATAGTCCAATCTCTGCTCAGTCTGAGAAAGAAAATTATAATCATCACATATAAAGAGCACAGCATAGGTCACAAGTGTGTACGCAGACTTATTCAACCCAGTGTTAATTCTACAGTTCTTCATTAGATTATACCTTGAACTAAAGGCCTATAAAATCAGATTGCACGTACACCTCATGTTTGTAAGCCTAAATGTAATGGTGTTTGAAACTCAAGGAAGCAAGATCATATACAGGTTTCTCCAAGTGACTTTCACAGTATATTACACGAGCTTGTGACATGATTTAAATATTAACTAGCTGTACTATGAAAAACATAACTTACTATTACAACAATCTCAGGTAAGTATTCTAGTTAAGAGGCGAACAGTGGGATAGATGGGCCTACTCACAAACTCGTGTGCACTATTGCGATACCAGGGAAAGATCCAGGCTCGAGCCAGCTGGCAATACCTGTCTGCTGGCTTGTTTAACAACCCCAACCCAAAGAATACTCACCACAAAGGTTGATCCATTTTCTCCCGTACACACCTCCGTTTCGGGTATGGAAAAATGCATTTTAAGCTGAAACACAGACTGGTGCCAGATGTTTCTTTCTCTAAACGCCACCAGTCCACGACGTTCAAGGCAGCAGCTCTTCTTCACTAAGCCCACTGCAGTGACTATGAGCGGGGACCCTCAGAGGCGCAGGACGCGGCTGTCACGTCGTGCCCACTGGTCTAATTGTCCTACCAAATCTGTGCAAGGCAAATAAGTCATTAACCAGCCAGCTTTCACGGCAAATCTCCACAGCGTCAGTGTTAAACTTTTCTCACTGGTGTCCAAGGAGCAGCCATGTTGCAGTGTGTTAAGTGATACACATTGCCAGTTTGCGTTGGATATGATATAATCCACTTTTGGAGTAAAAGGCGATCAGATACGCACAGTCACTCTGTGTCCGAGTATGCCTGGTTTTTAGCAGCGCCAGATGAAGTTCAGGATGAGGTGCAGAGGGATCCGAGTCCCGCGGCAGCAGCGTCGCACAGCCGTCGCAAAAATCTGTCCAGATAAGATTGGAACTAGCAGCACGTGTTGTGGTTTTACGTGGCTCTTGACCTGCCTACATTTGGCCAAATATATCTTGAACAACATAGGAGATCATAGGTAAAATATGTAAGGATAAAAGCACAACTAGTGTAGACAAATTACAGCCACCAGCCCATTGTGCAATCTGTCTGTGCTGTGGTAGCTCTACAGAGGCATTGCAACAATTTCCCTGGACGGAACCACCTTCCTTTGCGGGGTTGTTTTGTACATTTGATACTCACCTATAATAAAAATATAAATGAATAACTAACTATTAAGTGACGTATATCTTCAGTAAGACTTTTCTGGCAAAAAAATACTTGTCATTTTTTAATATGTTGAAAAGATGAGCGTTTATAAGTAAATTCATTTGGTACGACCCAAAGTGACAGCAAAAAACGTAGCAAAGTTCAAATTGCTTAAATTAAAAATAAAAAGTTTATTAAAATATACTATTGATATCAAATCGATACTTTATCCAGTCTTGGTTGTTCTTGTTGGTTTTTTTTAGTTATTAAATAATTTTAGATGCCATTTAGAGGCGGCTACTTCCTGTCACATGTCAGCCCTGGCCGATCACATGATCATAGGACAAACATGAAAGCTGGGGTCTGCCAGCTAAACTCTGCGCTGCTTGTTGTTTTAGTTTTTAAATTATGTTTTTATGGCTTGTCTAACGCAAGTGAGCTGCAGGTAAGACGCCGTTAGATGTAACCATATTGTTTTGTTAGTGTGTGCTTAGACCAATCACGTAAGTCGTGTTTGACTCGACATACGCTTGTTGTAAGACAGATGTCTCCTGACAGGTATGTGAACTGTGCAACGGGACGGTCTTGAGCGACAGCGCAGTAGGACAGTTTTGCTCTTCGTCCGCAGGTCGGATCGAGGGGCGCTGCTGTCTCAAAAATGGAACCGCAGGCTACAACGATAAAATTATTGGGTACTTGTCTCATGTTGTTCATTAATTTATGTTGTGTTCTGGATGTCAGATTGTTGTATTAAACATAAATAACGTTAAACCAGTTATCACAATGAGTCCTATTATCATCCAATTCCTTTTACCTTTGTTTTGGGCAGATTGGACCTGTCCAACTGCTCTTTAGCTCTGGTTGGAAATCTTCAGGAAGCATCTACAGCAACAATTATGTATGCAAATCTTATTTTTTGTCACCGACATGTGTAGGCCATCAATAATGCATGCTGTTTTGCAGAGACCTTTCATTCAACCCAATTGCCAACATCAGTGATTTCTCATTTCAAGGATTTATAGCGTTAAATTCTCTGTAAGTATGTCTCTTTATTACTGAATCTTGTTTTGAGTGTTTTGAAACTATGCTTTGTGTTTCTCAGGATCTTACCAGTAAAAGTACTTTGTCCTGGGGGTGCCACAGCTTGGAAGAAAATTGTAGAGAAGAGAGGAAATCGTTTTTGTGAAGGCCAGAACAGTATGTGCAATCAGACTGGACAAATGGGTAAGTATTGATAACACAAAGGTCCCCATCAATGAGTTCAAGATAAAGACGCATTATAATGATTAGTAAATCTCTTCTGAAGCCACAGACTGTCCTGAAAACTCCCAGTGTGCTCCCTTTGGTCCTGGTTTCTTCGAATGCAGCTGTGCTGACAACTACCATGGGTACAAGTGTCAGCGGGAGGTTAGTCCCTCAGTAACAAGCTAACTTTTTAACATTTGTTTTGTCTAAAAATTTGTTTCTTTCCACTAGGGGGAGTTTCCATTTCTTCAGGTATTTGGGCCTCTTGGAGTATCAACTGTGGTCATATCTTTTGTTCTATGGGTTACACAGAGGCGCAAGGCCAAACCACTCTGATTTTGATAATCTTTTACAATGACTTCTGATTTTAAAGTTGGCATGTGAAGGGATCGGGAACAAGTTTACACTTTATAGATTTTTAAATGGATTGTCTTTTAAAGCTAGCATGCAAGAAAAGCATTTTTCTCAACTGTATAAAACCACTTTGGTTCTTTTAAATTTGACAAAAAATGATAAAGGGATAGAGTTTACATATTTCCTGCACTGAGAAAGTTACATTCTGTTACAAAGCTACACTTTATTGTAGTTGTTATTATTTTTAAGTATTTGAGGTGTTTTATTTCTGTTTTGGACTAAATGTCCTGACAACAATGTCTTTCTTTATGCAACTAATAAACAGTTTAAGACATTGTAAACTTGAATTTACCAAGATGACATCAATAACAAACTCTGTCTTGTTATTCAGTGACTAATACTGTATGATGATGAAGTATTCTGGCATCTGCAATAAAATCTGTTCCCATAGAAAATGAAAATATAGTTTAAAAAGTGAATGCAGTTTTAGAATACATTTATTGCATGGTAAAAGCATGATATTGTGTTTCTTCATTTATGTCTTAAGTGTGACTCTGCAGTTTACATGTCCACATTTTTCACACGGAGTACCACAGGGACCGAGGTGCAAGGGATCATGCCCAGATCTGTGATAACCAGGTCCACAAAGTCTGGTGGTGTCACATCATAGACCAGATTCAAAAGGCCTAAGAGAGATACCTCCTGCCAATTCTCCAATTGTGTCTTCCCTTTACGAGTAACTATGAGATCATCAGGGTCATCTGGCAAAAAAAAAAAAAAAAAAGCATGTTCCAGTTTTATTTCAGCATTTAGTTTAACTATTAATATCTATTGTTGTAACATACCAAGTTCATTGGACACAAATGAGTCTGTCTGAACCCTCTCGCAGAACTTGTAGGTCTCACAGCACACCAAAACAGGCACATTGAAGGCTTTGGCCACTAGAGCAATTTGAGATGTTCCCACTCGTGACATAACATACCCATTGGCGAGTAAAGCATGAGCACCGAGGAACACCTTTGAAACCTGCAAGGCACAAGTAGGATTGGGAAATATTTTAAAAAATAATGCACATAGCTTTCATATTCGTATTTGATACTGATACCTCTGGAAGGATGTACGAAACAGCTGAAATAAGGACATAGGTGCAGCTGATGCCCCTCTGAACCAGACGCCTCAAAGCCTCTCGTCCCTCCAGCCGTGGTCTACTGTCCACCACAATCACACGGAACTTTCTGTTCTTCTCATAGGCTTCGCACAAGATGTTGTTGACCAGTGATGAACTGACAAGAGAATTTCAAGACGTGACATATAGTATATAGTGTTATAGTGTTCTAGATCTGTGTTTCTGGTGCTTACCATCCATAGACAAGAATTACATCTCCATCACTGATCTTTTCTATTGCATACTTGGCAATAGCTTTAGCAGCAAGAATGATCTTCTCATCTATGTAGCAGTCAATGCAGTTCAGTAACTTGCTTTTAGCCTGAAAAATAACAAATGGTATTAGCACTGTAAATAATTGTATGAAAATATTTTTAAAAAATTATACCTCTTTATCTTTACACTGGCTAGGAATATTAGAGATTTCCTTCTTAATGTATTTGATTGCGTTTCCCATGCTTGCTGATAGAGGGCGACACTGGTTCAAAAAACTGTTGGTGGGGAAAAAGTAAAAAAGTTTTTAGGAAGAAAAGTCAATCACCTCTAAACAAAGCATTGTTCTTTAAAACATATAAAAATGCATTACCTGATATAAGGCTTCAACTTATTAACCAAGTCCCTCGAGAGCTCTTCATTTGGAGGTGTCGTGTAGTCCCTAATCACCTGCAAAGAATTACATAAACTGGGACTATAAACCAGTATCATGTTTTTTATTCTCAAATACAGATATGTGCCAACTTTTGTAGCTGAGGTGTACCTGTTTGAAGGCATGTAATAGAGCCACAGAGCGGGCATTGGATCCTGCTACAATCCCCTGTGAATACTGGAGTCCAAGTCGTACAATAGCAGGATGGATCACTGTGGAAGGAATGCTGCCACAAAAATATTTACAAATATGTGAATATATGTGTTAAAAACTGTTATATAACAAAGATCATTGCTTTACCTAAGTTGCTGTGTTAGTGGAGCTTTTCGGCTGTATTGGTGAAGGTGAGAAAATAAACTGACTTTGTAGCCATAGTCAGAGCGGAGAGGAATCTGTGCAAAGAGACATAATTATTACACATCAAAGAATCAAACATTGCTTATATTAAGTATATGTTAGAAAATAATAACTGCAAATAAAATGTGTTATGGCCACACACCTATTTTACTACAGCGTGTAAAATCCCAATCTCAAACAAAATTTCAACACAATACATACTGCTATCTTTTTGCTCAAATAAATGTTAAAACACTGAAATAGCAATTTTAAGACACACTTCACATCTGTACCTTTTTAACTGCAATGTTCCCTGGTGTCTGAAAAAATGTTAGGTCCAACCACATGCATTTAGCGTTTGTTTAAATATTATTTATAAAATTATTATCATATTCTTTTAAAACAAATATATGTGAAGACATTCCCAAAAACTCCACAATCCAATACGTCTTAGAATAGCAAAATATAAAAGCTTACTTGTTGTCGCTCCAACTTTTTGGCTAATTTCTTCAAAACTTCTGGGTTATCAACTTGAACATGTTCAGGAAGCCTCTTAACCACTGAAAAGGGAAGGCAAGGGTTTATCAAATTTTAATTATGCCAAATGCTATCTTTTCCACCAGTGTTGTTCAATACCCGGCTGTAATTCACTTGGTGCTACTTTTGATTTACTGGGTGCTGCCTGTGGGCCACCGTCTCCTTTCTTGCCCTGTTTGGAAGCTCTCTCTACTTCTTGACGAGCTCTCCTCTCGGCTTTCAGCTCAGCTTTGCTCTTGGTGGGCTTCTCTGAAGCTGCAGTCGTCTCTGTAGCAGATCCAGCCATAACAGGACATGGCACTACAGAAGGAACTATAGAGATTAACAAAAAAGGGAAATGTAATGAATACTCTTTTGTGATTTTTAGTTCAAATCATATAAAGACAATGGTAAATCAACCTTTCTGTGATGGAGCTTGTGCTGGTGGTTGTGGAGTTGGAGCTGGAGTTGGAGCTGGAGAGGGCGCAGACTTTTCTTTTTCATTGCCCTTTGGTGTCTTGTCATCTTTCTTCTCCTTGCCCTTCTTCTGTTGTTTCTTCTCTTTCCTGAGACGCTGTTTTTCTTCTTTGGTCAACTCTCTGCCCTCATTCTATTGTTAAGAAAAATAAACATACATTTAAAGTCTAGTTTTGCCTTGAAATCCAAAAATGTAATGCAAAAATACACAAACCTTTGCTCGTTCAATTTCATCTTTCTTTTCAGATCCATCTGAAACAACAAATGTTGTGCATTTTAAATCGCATTGGAGTGTCTCGGTATTTTGTTCTGGTTCAGGTGTGGTCATAACTTTTTGTCACTCTCTACATAATACCAACTGACTGTCAGATGTCCTCTACACGTTAAATTAACATGAAATTCACAACAATAAGATGATGCAACAGAGGTTTCACAAACCCAATGACAGAAGAGTGGCTTTTTGCATTCCGCCGCTAAGGCTGGCACCAGTAGCCCATAATAACAATACAGCCTTACTTTTTTCCACAAAGGCTCAAACCGGAATATGAGGATAAAGACTTTAAAGGGTAGCGTTGATTACAAAATTATAAGGATACAAAGAAAACTGAATAAAAATGCAGCTGTTACACACTGCCACCCTTACCTGTCACTCCACTGTCCGCCATGTTTACGAATCTCTCTACTTCCTGTTCTTCAGGGGGTAGTTTAAACTATACTGACCCCTACTGGAATAAAAAAGTCCTGCTGGATACTGCTTCAACAAATGTTAAAATGATGAAAATGTTTATCAGTGTCAACATTTTCTGGCATAGGAATAGTACAAATTTAGTTCAGAAGTACTACACACTTAACTACTACACGACATTCTAACTCCTAGCCTGGAAGAGGTTTAATTTATTTACTTTTTTACATTTCATGTAGGCAAAGTGATTATCTAAGTAGGCTACTAGACTACTGGATTGTCCACTTGTTTGAGTAATGATATAGTCTAAATATATATTTTAGTTTTATTTATATAGACTACTTTACAAAGACACTGCAGAATAAATGGATCAGACCTACTAAACATTTCAGCAATCTGTGGGTCTGTGTCAGTGGAGTAACATGAGTTAGGGCCACTAGGCTACATATTACGCATCTTGTGTTTAACAAATTAAAAATGTATATATGTGTGTAATTTAGCTCAGTACAAATAGAGCAATGTATTAGTTTGTAGCCAGTACTGAACAGAGAGGGGATTGCAAGCATGCAGTGTTGGTGGTATTGGGAACGGATTTTTTTAAATGGGAGGAGGGAAGTGGATATTGGATACATGATTTTACATTTTATTGCAAGAGTACAGACATCTAAATCAGTCTTTGAAATAGTCAGGTATTTATTATATTTTCAGTTATACAACATCATAAAAGCAGTGTAAAGCAGTAAGAATAAAAGGAAGAGAATGCAGCCTCAGAGCACAACGCCCCTGTCTCTCCACGTGGGTGTCTGCTGTTTGAATTCACGACGCAGTAGCTGGTTGAAGGGGACCAAACCTCACAGTAACACCTGACTTGGTTCCGTTTGACCAGCCACAGCAAGGCGTGCTGCTTCAGCTGCAAGAGCCAGGGATAGAGAGGAGCAGGAGGAAAACATTGCAGAAACACAGGAAGCTGAAAAGAAGGATTTCATCTTCTCGTCATGTGGTTCTTACCTGCAAACACAAAAAAGTCATGATTAGTACTGCTGCAAGACAGAACAACTCAGACATGTTACCAAGCAGACAGGTCCTATTTTGAGGTTGGGGGAAGCCTAGTTTGTTCCCGAAGCAGCCTATAGGGGTAAACCCCAGTCCATAGTGACAGTGCCACATCCCAGCCCCCCTCCTCCTCCCCCCCCTTCCCTTTTTTGAGAGCCCTGTGGTTGCTATAATGGGTGACAGCTGTGCTCTGTCAATCCTTTTTGACGGTCAGCAGTTGGGGCAGGGACCCTGAGACTCGATCAGCAGCAACAGCAGCGGCCTGCGAGAGTAATGCTAACTGTACATGTCCATGAGCTCAAGCAACACACACCAGGCCCTTCACCTGTCGTCTTTGGCCACACTCACAGACGCGCACCCTCCCCTCTCATAAAACACACAAGCTGTCCTCCATCTTACAAACTCCTAAAAAGTCTAAAAACAGGCTTCTTCTTCTGTGGTGGATCTGTGCATACTTCCCCTTGCA